GAGTTGGGGAGAGTTAGGGCCTCATTGGGGTCTAGACTAGCTTAGGGTTATCTTAAATCCTATAGATTTAGGGTTAGGGCCTCACTGGGGTCTGGACTAGCTTAGGGTTATCTTAAATCCTATAGATTTAGGGTTAGGGCCTTGTTGGGGTCTGGACTAGCTTAGGGTTATCTTAAATCCTATAGATTTAGGGTTAGGGCATCATTGGGGTCTGGACTAGCTTAGGGTTATCTTAAATCCTGTAGATTTAGGGTTAGGGCCTCATTGGGGTCAGGACCAGCTTAGGGTTATCTTAAATCCTGTAGATTTAGGGTTAGGGCTGGGTTAGGGGCTTGTTGGGCTATTTTAGGATTATCTTAAATCTTATATATTTAGGGTTAGGTCTAAGTTAGGGCCTCATTGGGGTCCAGACTATCTTAGGGTTATCTTAAATCCTATAGATTTAGGGTTAGGGCTAAATTAGGGCCTTGTTGGTGTTTTAGGCTTAGGGTTTTGGACAGGGTTAAGGTCAAGGTTACCGTTTAGGGGTAGGGATAGGGTCAGGGTTAGCATTAAAGCCACGTTTAGGATTAAATTTAGGGTTAGGGATAGGGTTAGGGTCAGGTTTAGGGTTAGGGATAGGGTTAGGCGTAGTTTTCGGCTGGATTTGGTTCATTATTAGGATCACAGCTCTATTAGGAATGGATTTGGGCTTAATTGTAGAAAAATTAGGCACTTGAGTGCAAATTTAGGATTAAAAGGACGGAATTAGGGTAAAGCTTAGGGGGAGGGCTCAGCAGCACCCACCCGTGGGAGAAAGCGGGTGACCCCAAAGCTGTTGTAGGGCTCAGGACAGGCTTTATGGGGTTCACATGAAGCTTCCAACCTCTCCCCGTCTCCCCAGAAGATCATCCTCCACCCCACAAAGCACCTCAGGCACCGCAGCGTGTCGTGTGTGTGTCCCCCGTCCCCCTTTTTTCGGGGCTGCCTGGATCTGACCCCGCTCACCCTCTCTTCGGGGCCGTCCACCTCCAGGAGCTGCATTCCCAGGACCGAGCAGAAGCGCTGGGCGTTCTCCCAGGAACTCGGAGTCTTGGAGTAGAAATAGCAGGAATTCCCAAAATAGGTCCAGCCTTTAGGGCAAGGGGAACAGCCTGGGAAGAGGGGAGGGGGGGACAGAAAAACAGGGTGGCATCACCCCTCAAAAATCCCGTAAACCGGGGATGGCCCCCACCGGAGACACAATCCTGACAGCAGGAGCTGCCGAACATCCCCACCAGGTTGGCGTTAGGGCAGGGTTAGTTAGAGGGTTTGGGTTAAATCCTATCTGTTTAGGGTTAGGACTGGGTTGGGGGTCCCCTTGGGGTTTGGATTAGGTTAAATCCTCTATATTTCGGGTTAGGACTGGGTTGGGGGATCCCATTGGGGTTTGGAGTGGGTCAGGATGAGGTTAAATCCTCTATGTTTCGGGTTAGGACTGGGTTGGGGATCCCGTTGGGGTTTGGCTGAGGTTAAATCCTCTATGTTTCGGGTTAGGACTGGGTTGGGGGTCCCGTGGGGTTTGGATTAGGTTAAATCCTGTATATTTTGGGTTAGGACTGGGTTGGGGGATCCCATTGGGGTTTGGAGTGGGTCAGGATGAGGTTAAATCCTCTATGTTTCGGGTTAGGACTGGGTTGGGGATCCCGTTGGGGTTTGGCTGAGGTTAAATCTTCTATATTTTGGGTTAGGACTGGTTTGGGGGTCCCATTGGGGTTTGGAGTGGGTCAGGATGAGCTCAGATTTAGGGCCTTGTGGCAGTTTGAGCTTCACTTAAACTGTCCCCGTGCCAGGTTAGGGCTGAACTTCAGTCAGCGTAGGATTAGGAAAAACCTTCGATATTTGGGATTAAGTTACCGGGACTGACCGGAGCGAGAACAGACATCATCCTTGCTGCCGTGGATGACCCAGCGGCTCCACTCGCGGTCTCCGGTGTAGAGCATCACCGTACGTTGCTTGTTGTTGCCGTAATTGAAGTAGAGATTGTAACCGGCCAACGCCAACAACCCGCCATCCCGACACTCCCAACGTTGCAGCGTATCGTCATCCCGGCACGGTTCCAACCTCACCAAAGCCAGGTTTTGCCCGCGGGTTGCTGTAACGCAACGCTGGCTCCCCCAGCCCCATAGCCGACCCCCTTGCAACCACTGGAAGCGTTGGGCCGCCGCCTGGGGTTGGCACGTTGTCACCGTCAACTCTTGGCCCTTGGCCTCCACGCACATGCTGTGGGCTTCGTTGTACAGCAGGAAGGACTGGGAGACTGTGGGAGAGGTTCCCGGTGAACCGAGGGACGCGCGTGGGGATTGGGGACGCTTGTGGGGATTGGGGACACGCGTGGAGATTGGGGACGCGTCCGCGGGTGGCACCGTGGAAGGGGAAGGGGACAGGCGGTGTGGACACGCACCCATGTTTGGCAGCTCCTTCGCCTTCTCCGCCTCCAGCGCCGCCGTCAGGGCTGCAACTGGTGGTGGGGGGAGGGAAAATGGGGACACAAACACCGGTCACCCTGTCACCGCAGGGGACAGGGGGTCCCGGAGCTGTTGCCGCGGCAAAGGGTGGGAGAGGGGCCGGTGTTGAGAGGTGCTGAGCGCCCACGGAGCCCCCCAACGCCCCAATAACCATAATTCTGCCCCCCCAGCAACCCCGGCATCGCCTCCCCAGATGGAAGGGGGCTCTGCCGCGTCCCACCGAGCACCGGTCACTCACTGTGCCGTGAGCCGACGGCGAGCAAGAGCGCATTCACCAGCACCGAGACCCCCAGTGCGACGGTGCCAAGCAGCACCAGCTTCTCCCTGGAGCAGCACCACGACGCTGGGAAGGGTTGGTGAGTGACAACCGGTCCCCGGTTCGGGCAGAACTGGGTGGCACCGGTTTTAACCGCAGCGTGGTTTCGTCCTGCCGGCGATGCTTTTGCCCTCGCCCGTGCCGTACCCGGCGAGTCGGGCACGTGCTTCTGGCTCGGCACGGTGATGACGGGGTCCAGGGGCTCGTAGAGGTTCTCCTCCGCGGGGCACAGCTCGTCGCAGGCTGGGGAGGGGACAGCGGTGACGGCACTCGGAGGGGGGTTCCCCCCCTTTCCCAGTGCCACCGTGATCCCTGGGGACTCCCCTCGGGCACCGGGATGGGGGATTGCTCCCCTCGTGTCACTGCCACCGGGACACTCCTGTTTGGCAAAAGGTGTGGGGGATCATCCCCCCGAGGTGTCACTGACCTCCCCAGGGATCGCCCTTGGGGACCGAGGATGGAAAGGGGGGTCCCTTTCAGTGTCACCGTCTGCTCTGGGGACCCCCTCCTTGGACACTGGGGATGGGTGAGGCTCTTCTGGGGGTCACCTGCCACCCCAGGGACCCCCTGAGACACTAATCACAGAGACGGGGATCCCTCTCAGTGCCACCGCCCACCCTGGGGACAGCCCTCAGGGACCAGAGATGGAGATGGGGGTCCCCTTTGGTGCCACCACCCACCCTGGGGACCCCTCGTGGGCACCGGGGACTGGGGATCCCCTTTGAGATGCCACCAATTCCCCAGGGACCCCCGTTGGGCACCAGGGATGGAGATGGGGATCCCTCCCTGATGCCACAGTCCACCCTGGGGACAGCCCTCAGGGACCAGAGATGGAGATGGGGGTCCCCTTCGGTGCCACCACCCACCCTGGGGACCCCTCGTGGGCAATAGGAACTGGGGATCCCCTTTGAGGTGCCACCAATTCCCCGGGGACCCCCGTTGGGCACCAGGGAAGGAGATGGGGGTCCCTCCCTGGTGCCACAGTCCATGCTGGTGACACCCCATCAGGCACCAGGGATGGGGGAACCCCTCTGGATGTCACTACCCACCCTGGGGAGCCCTGTTGGGCAATGGGGATCCCCTTTGAGGTGCCACCAGTTCCCGGGGGACCCCCGTTGGGCACCACGGAAGGAGATGGGGGTCCCTCCCTGGTGCCACAGTCCATGCTGGTGACACCCCTTCAGGCACCAGGGATGGGGGACCCCCTCTGGATGTCACTACCCACCCTGGGGACCCCTGTTGGGCAATGGGGATCCCCTTTGAGGTGCCACCAGTTCCCGGGGGACCCCCGTTGGGCACCACGGAAGGAGATGGGGGTCCCTCCCTGGTGCCACAGTCCATGCTGGTGACACCCCTTCAGGCACCAGGGATGGGGGACCCCCTCTGGATGTCACTACCCACCCTGGGGACCCCTGTTGGGCAATGGGGATCCCCTTTGAGGTGCCACCAGTTCCCGGGGGACCCCCGTTGGGCACCACGGAAGGAGATGGGGGTCCCTCCCTGGTGCCACAGTCCATGCTGGTGACACCCCTTCAGGCACCAGGGATGGGGGACCCCCTCTGGATGTCACTACCCACCCTGGGGACCCCTGTTGGGCAATGGGGATCCCCTTTGAGGTGCCACCAGTTCCCGGGGGACCCCCGTTGGGCACCACGGAAGGAGATGGGGGTCCCTCCCTGGTGCCACAGTCCATGCTGGTGACACCCCTTCAGGCACCAGGGATGGGGGACCCCCTCTGGATGTCACTACCCACCCTGGGGACCCCTGTTGGGCAATGGGGATCCCCTTTGAGGTGCCACCAGTTCCCGGGGGACCCCCGTTGGGCACCACGGAAGGAGATGGGGGTCCCTCCCTGGTGCCACAGTCCATGCTGGTGACACCCCTTCAGGCACCAGGGATGGGGGACCCCCTCTGGATGTCACTACCCACCCTGGGGACCCCTGTTGGGCAATGGGGATCCCCTTTGAGGTGCCACCAGTTCCCGGGGGACCCCCGTTGGGCACCACGGAAGGAGATGGGGGTCCCTCCCTGGTGCCACAGTCCATGCTGGTGACACCCCTTCAGGCACCAGGGATGGGGGACCCCCTCTGGATGTCACTACCCACCCTGGGGACCCCTGTTGGGCAATGGGGATCCCCTTTGAGGTGCCACCAGTTCCCGGGGGACCCCCGTTGGGCACCACGGAAGGAGATGGGGGTCCCTCCCTGGTGCCACAGTCCATGCTGGTGACACCCCTTCAGGCACCAGGGATGGGGGACCCCCTCTGGATGTCACTACCCACCCTGGGGACCCCTGTTGGGCAATGGGGATCCCCTTTGAGGTGCCACCAGTTCCCGGGGGACCCCCGTTGGGCACCACGGAAGGAGATGGGGGTCCCTCCCTGGTGCCACAGTCCATGCTGGTGACACCCCTTCAGGCACCAGGGATGGGGGACCCCCTCTGGATGTCACTACCCACCCTGGGGACCCCTGTTGGGCAATGGGGATCCCCTTTGAGGTGCCACCAGTTCCCGGGGGACCCCCGTTGGGCACCAGGGATGGAGATGGGGATCCCTCCCTGGTGCCACCACCCACCCTGGGGACCCTCCTTGGGCAGCGAGGACAGAGACAGGGGATTCGCCCTGCGCTGTGACACCCCAAAAGTGACATTGGGGGGGGCGGGGGGCTGTGTATGCGTTAGGCAAAGTGGGACCACTGGGCTGCCCCCCACCCCAACCAGCACCCTGGGGTGCTCCCTCCCCTCCCCGGGCGCCGGCACCCACATCTGCCCCTGCTCGGCTTGGCTGGACTCAATGTTGCCGTACATCGTCCCAATGTCACCAAAGAGCTGTCCCCAGCGGGTGTCCCCGCTGATAAAGCCCGTGGTAAGCGGGTGACGGGGGGCGGGTGTTCCGGATGCACCCTCACCCCAAGGATGGGCCTCGAAGGGGCCCCCAGGCACCCCACGGCTCCCTCCCTACACCCCAAAGCTTGGCTGGAGGTGGCACCACCAGTGACAGTCCCCAACGGGTGCTGGCAAAGACCCCAGTGTCTCTGGAGGCTGGAGGGGGTG